CCTTCACAGCGAGCTGCCTCATTCCCCTCAGAATCTTCTGGCCACTCTAAATTCCTCATACAGCCGCAGCGTGATGCTCTCCTGGGTGCGCCCCTTTGATGGAAACAGCCCTGTTCTCTACTACATGGTCGAGCTCTCCGAGAACAGTGAGTGAAGTTTCAACCTTATGTTCTTCTCAATTATTAAGCCTTCTTTCAGACTCACCTTTTACCAGAGCTACTAACAAAACATTACTGTTGTATGCTAAGTGAGAGACTGTGCATGGAGGGTTTTACACTTGACTATGTACATGCTGTAGGAATTAAACAACAAAAAGAGGCTTGAGATGGTGGAATGTGATATAGGAAAACCTTAATTCCACCTCTAGCATTGCCAGCCAGACTTGAGGCACAGCAGTTCATTCCTCAGTGCTTCAATTCAACATCTATAAAATGGCAGTAGTCATTTTATGTCTTCCCATTGTTGTCTTTTGCTCTGGTTTCATAGATATTTGGTTGCATTCAGAGCCCCAGTTTCACCTGAAAAATGCAGGTGGGAGGATAATAACAAGGAACTGATGGTCTGTCAGAGGAATAAACTTGGATGTCAGTAGGAGCTACTATCTTTACTGTATATGGGTTCATATATTTTCTCTGCTTTTCCTAGGTTATAATTTTACATCCTTCTTTTTCTAGGATAAGGATGCTTAGCTGTAAGATGTCCAAATACCTACCTTCATGGGTTACAAATCTGGTCATTGTGAAATGCCATTTCTCACAGTTTCGTCATGCTGTATCTGGTCCTTTGTGGCTCTCAGTTTGCAAGGTTATTCAGGGACATTGCTAATGCCTCTTTAGGAGTTGATGGAAAGATGAGGTTATATGGAAATCAGCCACCTTGGCAATACTTTCTAATCTCTATCACCGTAGAAGCTGGAAATCCAAGCCTAACAATTGATTCTTGATGAAAAAATTAAGAGCATCACTTTTTCTGACATGTGGAAATTAGCCACTGCATAACTGAATGTGAAGCAGTCCTGATTTCTGATTAACGAGAGAGTAGCATTTTGTTTCGCCACACAGAGAACTTGAGATGAAACTTGAGCTTCAGATCACATATAGCCCTTTTGCTTGGCAGGCAGGAGTGCATAGCTTTTCAGATGTGGAGGTCCCAGAACTGATGATCTTTACATCTGTTAAGCACAGTGGTTTTCTAATCCTAGCAGAAATCCCAAGTCATGGCCGGGACTGCTGTCCTTAAAACACTTCTTTTTGAGCAAAGAGTCCTGATCTTTTGGTAAAGAAAATGACAGAAAAATCAGTGTTCTGCGCTCACAACCCCTCTCTATCTTTCTATCACCACCACCTTTTTTATTTTGACTCTTCTATCCTTCGCCTTCTGTTAAGGAGTTAGAAGCCAGTAACTGCTTTCTAGCTTTTCCTTACCTGTTCTTTCACCCAAGGACATTACACTTGTGTCTCATATTTCCAAGAGGCTTTGACAATGACAAGCTAATAAAGCCGCAGTCTGGGAACATGATGCAAAGGTACTAGAGGTGTATGTGCATAGAGACAGCACAGAGCTGGCAGAACTTTGGTGCTGCACTGGGCTGCATTGATTGGGAAGAGTCACTAAAAGAAGAGGCGGCTCACTTGACGCCAGGAGAAGTTTGAAAGGTCTTCAGGTGCTTTTCTAGCAAGGATGCTTTGCAGTTGGTCTAGTATAGGAATGGGGTAAATGTGCCATCATTCTGAAAACGCTGTAATTCATTCAGTGAAATATATAGAAGGCTCAGCAAAAATCAACAGTAGTTCTACAGAAATCATGCAGACAGTCCCTCAGAACTCCACAGGATCCTGTGAACCCTTGCTCACACCATGATCCAATAATTTTGGCTGATGGCATTGCAATCTGCCACTGAGAGACTCTCATTATCACAAATCATAGGTATATGTACTTCAGCAAGCTTGCAGCTGAAAAAAACAAGCAGAGAGCTGGCTTATTGTGAATTGAGCATCTTAACTCCCAGAAATGCTCTAGACCTTGCTGTCCTTTCAGTTTTCATCTTTATCTTTGTTTACTTTGCTTTTATGTACAACGTCCAAATGGTTACTCACAGAAGTAGGACTTCTGTGGGAAGAGAGGAATTTAAGCCCTTAAATATTCTGCTGTTGTTGTATTCTTTCATTTCATATATTATTGCTCAGCTGTACGGATGCCAGTAGAATAGTAGAACAATGTCAACAGTGACTTTGGTTTGGAAAGCTGACTTTAATGTCTGCGTATAGTCACTGTCTTGTTTTGGTTTTTATTTTCTTGAAGTGTTTGTTTTTCAGAGTTTTTGATCTCAGTAGTGTGTGGTTAATATTTAGTTTCTACAGACCTCCTACTCGTTTGGAAAACACCACCTTGCCTTTGTTCCCACCCATCCCAAGTGATGTCTGTGAATGAAGCTGATATTTGATCTTTTGTAGGTATAGTTTTGTCTGATATGACTGTGCAGAAGCTCTCTTTGCTTTTCAAAGAAAATCCTTTCAGGTTTTCTGTCAGTCCTGTTTGTGCCACAGAAAGAGTAACTGTCAAGGAGTCAGCATATGCCCTCTGTGAGCTTATCTGCCTGCATCGGTAGCTCCTTCACTGTCAGCAGCAGTGCAATATGCTTGACTCCTAATCCCCATTTGCTTTCACACATGCAAGGGTTAGGGAGGGACATCAAAATTATGATTTATTTTCCAGTTAGCAAAGCTGCACAGGAGAATATCTTCTTAGTTCTGTGGAGTTTTGATACATGGGGTTTGCTTTGCAGTTACAGGTGCTGAAATGTAGTCTAATTTTGTTAATTTTTTCCCTGTTTTGAATCACTTTGTAATAGCTTTAGGAGGATCCATTGTATGTTCTGAAGCATGTACCATCAATGAATACATAATAACAGTATCTGTTTCAGAGAAATAGCTGAAGAGGGTTCAAAATAATGACTGAATTTCAGGGGGCTAATTACTGGCTGCATTAGAGAGAGGAGTGTCGCTCCACCTGGCATGGATTAGAACTCCTTTTCATTAATATCATTTCAGAAAAGAGATATAAACCCCTTATTTTAATTAGAGGAAAAAAACATAGCAGATCGTGACCATAAATTGCTGGAACTGTGAACGACTCTTGTCACCTAATTTTTAAAATGAGTGTATTTGGCACAATGCAATAATTCTCAAATTACAAGTATTCACTGTAGCCCGTGTCTGTGGGTGACTTGAGACATATGGCCTTAAACATTTGGGGTCAAATTTATAACCTTATTTGAAAAACACAGTTCCAGGGAAACAGAGTCATTAAGTATTCCTGCCCACACAGAGCCAGAAATGGGAACCTTCATTTGAAATAGGATTTTCAAATAAATAGGACCATGCATTGCTGTCGTTTGCACTAATGTGATTTTGGGATCTTTCATGACCTGCTTAGCCCCTCTTGTGATATATCTAGGAATTCCAGTGAAGTATCATCACGGAGTTCGAAGGGGATATGCTTATTTTATTCTAAAGAGGTTTAGATTTTTAGGGATTAATCAAAAAATATTCACAGTAGTCTTTTAACTGAAGAAATAAATTGATACTTAAAGAATTCTGCTGAGTACCATTAAGATAACCCCCCATTTTGTTTTATTGTATTCTGGGATGTCTGTGCTGTGTGATGTACTCATATAACTCCGATTCATCGCATCGTGCCAATGAGATTTCCCTACGGAAAGAATCTATACCTGCTTAGCTTAAAGCTTAGAACTTGTCATCCTGAATTTGGTAGGAATATTCAAATGACAAAAATTTGACACATTGACAAATCTTTGCAAAAATCATAATAAAATCACAATAAAAATAATAATGAAAATCATAATAAAACTATGTTGTTTGTTAGAACTGGGACTCAGCTTGGTATAAGCAAGAAGTTCTTTACTTGAGGGTGGTGAGACACTGGCACAGGTTGCCCATAGTAGTGGTAAATGCTCCATCCCTGGCAGTGTTCAAGGCCAGGTTGGAAAGAGCCTTGGGTGACATGGTCTAGTGTGAGGCATCCCAGCAGGGGGATTGTAGCTAGATGATCTTAAGGGCCTTTCCAACCTTAACTCTTCTATGATTCTATGATAGTGTTAAAAGATACTTTTACTCAGGCCATTGGTAGGCCTTGTTGAAGCCCTGTCAAACAAAGGATGAACCATTTAATTTTTATTTGTACTTTTTGCAATATCATATTGTCATGAAGATTTGAAAGATGACTTCAGTGAACCACAGCAGTACAGTGAATTCCAATGCTACCATCTATACAAAACCACCCTGGAGAAGGAAGCAGATGGAAATGTGCTCCAAACCTGCAAAAATCAGCTTTTTGCACTATACCTATTCTGTAATATCAAATTAGAAATTATTTTTGAGGAATTTGCAATTAATATATGCATTCTAAGGTGGATAGGGAAATACAGAAGAAATGACTCTTGGTGAGTAACCAGTGTTATTAAACATCACAAACGCATCCAAAAGTTCTTGACAGAACAAGACTAATTTCTAGAACTCCACAAATCACACTGTAAACTAGAGAGTAGCCTGTGAGATTTCTTTTGTTTCCAGTAAATTGAGTTGGAGAGGCACTCAGAGTTAGAATGATAGAATCATAGAATGGTTTGTGTTGGAAAGGACCTTAAAGTTCCAACCCCCTGCCACGGGCAGGCACACCTTCAACTAGACCAGCTTGCTCCAACCCCTTTTCAACCTGGTCCTGAACACTGCCAAGGATGGGGCAGCCACAGCTTCTCTAGGCAACCTGTGCCAGTGCCTCAGCACCCTCACAGGGAAGAATTTCTTCCTTAAATCTAACCTAAATCTCCCCTATTTAAGTTTGAACCTATTCCCCTTTGTCCTGTCACTACAGTACCTGATGAAGAGTCCCTCTCCAGCATCCTTGTAGCCCCCTTCAGACACTGGAAGCTGCTCTGAGGTCTCCACGCAGCTTCTCTTCTCCAGGCTGAACAGCCCCACCTTTCTCAGCTTGTACTGTGGGACGTGCTGCACCCCACTTACCATCCTCACTTTTTGGCCTCCCTCTCTTGATCAGCCTCTGACGCATTTTCAGCCTCTACTTTCTTTTTGGCCTCCCACCTCTTTAATTCCAAATACCCAATGTCCTTAAGATGGTAGCCAGCTAAACATGGAAGTGCATCAGACAGTAGCAATTGCAGTGGCAGAGCAAGTAAAGCCCAGACTACATTCTGGACAGCTTAAGTTAAGTGAAGGATTAGCACAGTCTTCTCAGTGTAATGGAGGCTTATTTTATAGTTTGACCTTGCAGCTCTTTTGTCACCATGGAGTTTCTCCATGCTTCCTGGGACAGGCGAGTGACAGTCACCCCTGGAGAAGAAGAGAGTCAGTGTTTAAAATGTAATGGCATGTTTGTGATGTCAAAATTGCTCTTCTGTGCAATTCTGGGATTGGTTTTGAAATGTTTAGTTCATTGACTATCTGAAAAAAAATGACTCGACATTTAAATTTTAAAGCTATTCTGCATAGTCACTGTATCCACTGCTCTGTGAGTGAGCAGACCCTCCCCAAACCACCTTCCTTTCCGAATCAGACTGCCTAGGAGATGAATAGGCTCCGTTTATATTAGGTTTCAGTTTAATCTCTCTTCCTGCCAGATCTTTTATCTTCCTCTAGGAGAGGAAAAGGAATTAATAAAGTATTCTACAGATGCAGCATATAAACAGAGTAAAGCCCCAAGGTGCTGAAGAGATTAATAGGCCCTGTTGTTGAATCAAACTCCTCACTACATTGAGCGCTTAGGTTAAGCACTCTCAGGTGGTGTTTACACTAGCAGTAAACAAATGAAACGGTGTAGGAAACGGACCACTACCCAAGTAGCTCATACAACGGTATTTCACTCTCTTGGTGGTGTCTGCTCTTCCATTTTCCTCAGGAAGCTGCTTCAGGCAGTGTACTAAGTCAGCCATACCTTAACTTTGACTTACCTTGATTTGTTATTGTGCACTCTGGCTGTAATGAGGTGAACAGTTGTTTGTGAAGTCTCAAGAGAAGCTTGATACAATCCAAAAGGAACGAGGGTGCAAAAACCTCCTAACTGATGCTTTTCTAGACGGCACAGTAGTGCTTCTTCTAAGGTCTTTCTAAAAGAAGTTCAGCGCTCAGAATTGCCATCGTGATCTTGCAGCTGAAGTGACTGCTGGTAAATCATCAACAACTGGTGAGGACAGAACTTTACTGCTGTGCAAATGTCCCTCTCCAGCATTCCCAGTATTCTGCTGTGTCAGTTTTCCTGTTAAAAAAGATTTTGTTCTCAGAAAGCCATTACTGGAATAAGTATGTTTTGAGTAATTCAAAGATGCAGTGTTTATAGCCCCACTGGCAGCAGACCCCAGAAGACTTAAACTTGCTAAAGAATCTGCCAGAAAAGCACTGTATTAGTGGTTTATATCTTGGTGTGAATTTTAGCAGCCTTCCACATTTGGGACATCTCATCTTCATTTTCAGGCAGACATCTAGGTGACCTGCCAGGAGCTGCAATGCAGTTCTGATGAGCAACATGTACAGATATGTTGCCAAAATCTACAGCTAGCTCCTCAGTCATTTCCAGAAGTGTTGGTAATTTTGAGCAGGGAGCATGGAAACAGCTGGTATTATTTAGAATCTGAACAAATCTTTAAATTGGCTGATTCCGTTGCTGTACTGTTGCAACACAGACCAAATGTCACCTCTCCCTGACTCTTTCAGTCATGACTTCAGGGAGAATGTGTGACACCAGGCTATGAAGAAAAGAAGTCAGGATATTTAATTTTCAACATGTTTCATTTCCTGACCTCTTTGAAAACTTGAAAATGTAATTTGGACATCAGAGGAGCTCAGTATGTCAAGTATGTGAACTGACGACGAGGGTTTTATAGTGCTGCCAGGGCTGTTTATACCAGGCAATCTTCCTAGGAAATGATTAGACCAAATGCCACATACTATCTCTAGGAAAAGAAAAAATTGCAGACATGTAGAATTTGCAACAGAAGCTTTCTCAGGTCTTACAGCAAAGGGCTGATTTGGCAGAGAGAGTCATGCTTCTACACCTGCTTGCAAGCTGGGTAGGAAGATATTCCAAACTGACTGAATTTCGTTACAGTCCTTCCACCAGAGCCACTCATGGGTGTGGTGGTGTAGTGGCCTGCCAAACAGATGGGTTGTGAAATACACAGCCCATCTGTCTTTATCATGCTTGTTTACTCTTTTATTAAAATGTTAATGAATATAGTTTTTATTTATTATGCCATGACATGTGCAGCATCACTTTCCAGTAGACAAATGTGCAATCTGCATAACCGTGTGGGCTGACAGGAAGGTTTCTTCTGCTGAAAAGAAACTTCTTCCCAAAGTTCCTCTGAGGAAAACAAGCACAAAGAGCTCTGAGCAGTCAGAGGCATTTTCTCACTTCTGCAGGGCTTTTAACAAGCACTCTCATCTTTTTTCACATGTAAATTATTCCAACAGATTCTCCCTGGAAGGTTCACCTCTCAAACCTTGACCCGAAGATGACCGGTGTCACTGTGAGTGGACTAACTCCAGCCAGAACCTACCAGTTCAGGGTGTGTGCTGTTAACCAGGTGGGAAAGGGCCAGTACAGCTCTGAGACCAGCAGGTACAGTAAAAATAAATATCTGGGTACTGAAGGTACAATAACCTAAAAGTATTGGAAGGAAAAAAGTGCCCATTGTGAATGAATGAATGAAGTTACTTGTTGCACAATAACTGGGGAAGGGAGCAGTTAGCATTACCCAGGCCTCCGGAGAGTGCTCTGCAGCTGCCGGTAATTGGTGATCATGGCAATTAGGTGATGCAGGATATCAGCACACCATGGAGGAGGTGCCCTCATGCTTCCAGAGTATCAGTTAAGCAGAATCTTTTTTGCTCTTGTGCTAAGCCCCAGCAGTTAGCCCAGGAAGGAGGACAGCATTCTCCTAATCATTGCAATGTCACTTCTGGAACTCACCCAAATGCAACATAGAAGGATGGCTTCATCAAATTTAGTTTCAGATGCATCCTCCTTCTTCTGAAGCAAAGCTTGCTGAGAGCTTGAATTGCAGAACAGCTGAACTCTAAATGGCTTTTTCAAAATGTAGGAGTTCGGTATGAAAAATATTGAAAGAGCTGAAAGAAACAATTTGGAAGGAGTCACAGACACTGGACCTGAGCTCTAACTCATTCAGGCTTGTAATCTTTTTTAAGAGTTGTAGCAGCCTAGGTGATTCAGAGAGAATAAGGTTACCTCAGCTGTCTGTCTTGTTGCTTGCTTAACTGATTTCCTATTATGTTGATTTGTTGTAACTATTTCATGCATGTCTTCAGCAGTTTGATCAGCATTATATTTCTTTCTAGTCATCAGACTTTGATGAAAGAAACTGGTTCACATGGAATGGATACATGAAATAGAAATGTTATCTGTGATTTATTTCAACACCCATCTCCATCACATTCTTTTGTACTTAGGTTGATGCTACCTGAGGAGCCCCCTAGTGCCCCGCCTAAAAACATAGTGGCCAGCGGGCGAACCAATCAGTCTATCATGGTGCAGTGGCAACCTCCTCCTGAGAGTGAACATAATGGAGTTCTTCATGGGTACATCCTAAGGTAAGTAACTTCCTAACCTGGAAAGTCTGAAGATAGATCCATGTGTGCATGAGGGAATTCAGAATGGTGTGAATTAAGAGTGTATTTAAAACTACTTCTAATTCCATGAAATTAAAGGAGGGCGACAAAGCTGGTGGAGGGTCTCAAGGACAGGTCCTGTCAGGGCAGCTGAGAGAACTGGGGTTGTTTAGCCTGTAGAGAGGGAGGCTCAGGGGAGACCTTATCACTCTCTACAACTACCTGTGAGGAGGTTGGTGAGGTGGGGATTGGTCTCTTCTCCCAAGTAATGAGCGATAGGACAAGAGGAAAAGGCCTCAAGCTGCACCAGGGGAGGTTTAGATTGGATATTAGGAACAATTTCTTCTCCCAAAGGGTTAGCAAGCATTGGAACAGGCTGCCCAGAGCAGTGGTGGAGGCACCATCCCTGGAGGTGTTTAGAAGACATGTAGATGTGGTGCTTGGGGACATAATGTAGTGGTGGCCTTGGCAGTGCTGGGTTAACAGTTGGGCTCAATGGTCTTAAAGGTCTTTTCTGACTCAAATGATTCTGTAAATATATTAATTATTATTTACAAATGCTGTGGCTGCCCTGGTTTATTACAGAAGAGAAAACACCTCTGTTCAAGTGGCCACATGGGTGTAGGCACTTAAATTCTAGCCTGCCTATTCTAGAGAGTCAATGAGCTGGGGTCTCTGCTAGCTACTCTGCATGGACTGCCTAAGTGGACTAGCTCCCTATGGAGGCTCTCAACATCCAGATAGCTTTTTTCCATTTTCAAAGTGAAGTGCAGCAAGTACTGGAAGTGTTCACATAGGACGTTAGTACAGTGCAGCCTTTGCATTGGAGATGTATATTTGCTTATTACAATCTCAGCTTCCTGCTAGAAAGGTTAATTAAATTTATCAAAGACACAATAGGGCTTCTTCACTATGGAAGACAAGAATAGAATCAATAAGCTTCAGTTTTGTGCCAAACAAAATGGAGAGAGAGAATGACAGGTCAGATGCTTCATGGCAGACCTTAATGTGGTTTTGAAAATCAGTCAGGTGAGTAAGATTCTGTCAGCCTCTTCTGTATTTATTAATGAGAAACAGATTCCAGCAGGTAATTGGGAATCTAGAATACGTTCAGTCTTTCTGCTTATAGAGCAAATATTGTGTTGGAAATGGTGTTGCCACTCTAAGGAACTTCGCAGAGCATTTCCCTTTTGTAATTTTTGAGGACTCAGTTATTCACTTCTGCCCAATTCAGCTACAGCTCTCTTGCTCATTTGGCAGCCTACATATCCTGCAATGCTAGCAGCCAGCTAGGGCCACACCTTTAGTAAAAGAGGCATTATCTAAATTAGAGTATTTGTGAGAAACTCCCAAGTATTGCACCACCTCTAACATGCTTCCAAGTGATGGTTACAGCCTATTGTGGGCTGGCTGCTGACATTTTTAGTACAGTGTCCTCCACACCTGCTAAAAGAAACTAAACGCTACAGTTAGATGCCAACATACTGTTCATGCTGTGCTCCTACTTTTGCTGGCATGGATGGAAATGTTTTTGTGATGTTAAGAGTGTGGATGAGCTCCCAAAATAGTTGTGGAAAGTTCCTTCTCTTTGCAGGCAGAATTGAAAGTCTGTTAACCTCCCTGTCACTTGCACAGAGCATATTATGCTGGTGGGCCACTTGTGCAAGTGCCTGCAGTTTTAAGAGCTGGACTCAGTCTGAAAGCTGTGCCAGACGTTAGTGACAGGCAGGAAGAGGTGCTTCACATTTTGTCTATAACTAGAATCATGTAATGAGACTTGGGTACCTGTTTGCACAGGGTACAAATGTTGCTTGTATGATTCTTGCCTTCAAACTGGTTTATTTGATGATAGGATTAATTCCTTAACTCTTCCCAATGAATGTGACCCAGTCTCAGCATTAAGTTCTTTGAGAAAGCAATCCCATAGCCTCCTGCTTCTGGTAACCAGTTCTGTTTTCTCCATGTAGTGTTTTCAGTGTTTACCTTAAGTATTTTCTGCAACATCTACCAGCATAATTGATCCCTGTCCTTGCTGTAACATCTTGTTCCATAGAGAGTGATCATACTCATTCTACTCAATCTGTGAACATTTTTAATGTCTACATGCTTTGTCTTGACTACAGAGCAGGAAAACCGTTTATTCAAGAGGAATTTTAGATTATCATGTAGAAGTACAAATGTCCCAGGTAATAAACAAGACTCTTCTTCCAGATCAAATTGTGTGGTCACAGCAGTGTGCACTATGAAGAAAAGTCTTCTTGCCCTGATTTCTGTAGAATTGGGGTATAACAAAATGAAAACCACCATGCATCCCAAAGACCCAGTCCTCCAGACATGCAAGATACTAAATTGATGGAACACCTGATCTTTAAAAGTGAAGGTGCACTGCACAAGTCATATGGAGTATACATCAAAGTCCATGGTGAGAAAAATCATGAAGACGTGACATTTCTGAACTGGCCTCCTTCCTCTGCCCTTTTTCTCACTGGCAGTATTGCATTTAGAGGACTGCCATGCTAACAGCATAATGGATTAAATCACAGAAGCACTCTACACCTTGTCTGCTAGGTGTGAGACAAAACATTGCTGCACAAAGAATTGACTCTGCCAGGAAGCATACACCCTTCCCAGGGGACAGAAGAACGAAAAAGATACTGTGTAAAGTTGAAGAAGATGATCAAGATATTCGAGAAACTTAGCTGAGGGCTGATGTTTCTTTACTTCCATTTGTACTTCATAAATGGAATCACACCAGTGTAGCATTACAAACATTAAGTATGCCAAAATATGGTCAGGCAAGCAGCTGCTCAGCAGAAAATAGAGGGGTTGTCAGTGATTAAGAACTGATCTCTTTATAATAAGACTTTAGAATAAAATCTGTGGCTGTAATACACAAAGTTGTCTAGTCACAGAACTTGCACCAATTTAACTTAGATGAATTTAAAATTAGACTGTAAGATGTCAATGAAATTGTTCAATGTCAGTAAGCTTTTTGTGATTACTGTGAAGCAAAAGATGAGTAAGAGTGCCTGAAAGCGGTGTGGTGAATAAAAATACAAATGTTTCCAGATTTGGTTTTCTGATGGAATAGTAATGCCTTGTGCCCCTTGCTTGGCCTCTGTTTTTCTGATTTATCTTTTTGTGAATTAGCATATTGTAAGCATCTAAAGGAAGGAAAACAACAGTATTATTCATATTCACAGATCTGCATGGTTTGTTTTCTATAATTTAGTTCTTCTCCATAGTTTCTTGGCCTGAAGAGACACATCAAAGCGGCCCTGTTTTCTGCAATGCAGTTTTAACATGGAAAAATGTAGTCAGTGTTTCAGCTTCCTATGGCTCAGCAGAAAGTTTGGCAGGACGTTTACCTCTCACCTGTGTTTGGTACAGCCCTTCTGGAATTCCAATGCTTAACCAACCCTTTGGTCTCAACTATGTTCCATCCTTATTTTATCTGTGAAGTAAATCCTGATGGAAGCCAGAGACAGCAATGCCTGAAAGAGACGGAATGAGATGGAATGAGACTCTGGAAGGTCAGAGCCCTCTGAGCTCTTCCTTTTCAGATTTCAGAGGAGAAGGAAAAAAAACATTTCTCAAGCTGATTTACAGCAGCACCCTGCTAAAGAATCACATCTGGGCAATTTTTTCTACTAAATCACAGCTTTTACTAGACAAGCTACATTTAAAAAGCTGTAATTTTTCTGCAACCATAAAACAGGATAAAATACCCATTTTGTTCAGCCCTGAGCATGTAATCTCTGTGAGATCAGATTAGAAATACTATAGCAGTCAAACATGATACGGTCTTATCAGGAGTTAGTTTGTTCTTTCTGATTATTTTTAATTATTCTTTGTATAATTCTGCTGTAGAAGTTTGCATCTTGCCTCTTCACAAAGGAAGCGATTTTGCTTCTCAGGATATTTGCTATAATTGATACCATCTAATTCACTAGCAAATATTTCTTCCCACATGGTAGGTATCGCCTGGCTGGCCTCCCTGGAGAATACCAGTATAAGAACATCACCAGTGCAGAAATCAACTACTGCTTAGTGAAAGACCTGATCATTTGGACCCAGTATGAGATCCAGGTGGCATCTTACAATGGAGCTGGGCTGGGAGCATTCAGCAGACCTGTGACAGAATACACTTTACAGGGAGGTGAGCAAACTGGACCAATATATATCCTTTAAAGTTACAGTTTATAGCATGCTTTCCTAAGGAGATGCACTCTCTAATAGTCCAACCTAACAACTTGTAAAATTAATGGTCATTTTGGTCAAATTTGACAGACAGCTTGGGGTAGGAAACACCTACAAATTTCAAATCCCGGAGTAGAGACAAGATAAGACTCTGCTGTTATCTCTGTAGAAGAAGCTGTGAGTGAATTAAAAAATTATCTATTTTGGTTGACCCTCATGATGACATTTGCAGGTCAGAGTTGGCCGCAGCATGAAGAATAAATAGAAATGCTGAAAAGAGCTGGGAATGGATTTATAGGGCCCATGACAGGCAGGGGCTGAGGTTACTCTGCCAGGAAAGTCAGAGAGAATGTGGCAGGGAATTGGGTTTATCATGGTTGAGATATGCCATATGCCATGTATGCAACACAGGAGACAAAAGCTGAGTAAACCAGCTCTATTCAGATAATCACAGAATACCTTGTTTTAGGAAAACAGAAGAAATCTATAAGGAAACTGTAGAAAGAGAATTAAAGCCTGTGGAGAAAGAGTGGTTTGTAGTATTTCAGGAATGGTGCATACATTTGCAAAGAGGAAGATGATTTTATCTTTAAAGGCCTGATTTTTATGCTACAGCTCCTACACATCTTTCTGCTAAGTGCTTTAAGAAGAGTATAAATTACATCAACAAAAGGATATGTAATTACTTTTTACAACCAGTGTAAGGCATGTTTACACCTCTAGATTGGTATAAAAATCCATAGGATAATTAAACACCAGGCCCTTAAAGCTTTCATATATTCCCATAATTGCAGAGTTGTGCTGGGTGCTGAGCACTGGACAGTGCACAGTCTCTATTGGTCATAAACCAATTAAACTATTTTAACAACTTGCAGATTTACAGTACATCAGTTAAATTACAATGAGGGAAGAAGACGTAGTTGTTTGTTAATTGTTACTAGGAGTACATTAGAACATGATTAGATACAGTTTGAGGTGTAGGGAGATGTTTAAGAAAAGGTTATTCATATGCAACACTCTTTAACCACAACGATTAAAGAAGAAGGCTATATTTTGTCTTAGGGAATGTGAAGTCGTACAGTTTAGAGGAGTGTAGACACACTCAAACTCTTTCTAGAAGTATTTATAGCAGACCTTGAAATGTTTTTCTTAGTCTTCACCTTGCAGCTAGGATTAACGGTTTTTATCCCACTGAAGAGCAGATCTCTGCTGAGAATTGGTTTGTACAGAGAATTTGAATCTCTTTTGTGAATAGGCTTGTAATTCGTTACTTTGTTTATTTGCACATTTTAAACTATCATAGCACCTTAACCTTCCATCTATTAAGACTTAGGTTTGGACTTCACACTCTTGTTCTTAAACCCTTCAATTGACTCTAATTTCCCTTGATATTATGTGCTATTATTATCATCCTTTATTTATTGGCTGTCTGTTGTCATTTATAAGGATATAAATCCTCTGTAATAAATTAAGTATAGTCAGTCCTGCATTCATATTAATCAGCAAGAGTGTTTAGACTGCAGGACAACCTGCAATGGCCTTTTTGTCTTTACATACTTCCTAAATGCTCAGTGGTGGACAGACTTAGAAGAAATAATGGATATTTCTTATTATTTTATATCAACACTTAATAAGAGCAGTAATTAACTACTTCATGGGTGCTGCCATCTCCTAATGAATGCCTTGCTGGGTATGAGTCCTTTTTACTTTTAAAGTTAAAGAAAGGAGGCTGGTTGGTATCTGTATCATTTGAAACTGGATTAATACCGTCTCCATATGTAATGCGCTACTGTCCGAAACTCTTCTCCTTTATCCTTTTTGTAGTTGAGAAATGACAGGAAAAGCCAGTGACTGTTTCTTGCTCCAGAATGTCCTTCCTAAACCAAACCAGCAGGAGTAAAAAAAAAAGCCGTGTGTAAAACTGCCTTGTAAATCACATTCTGATTTTAATATGAGTGGAGATAAATGTCAGAGACATACAATCCCATCCATCCCCCTTTCCTACTACAACCACTGCTGTCTCTATCCTGACATGCATTAAATGATGTGAGCTGTGCTGGCAAGAACCTGTCTGTCTGTAGATGAAAAATACCTGAAACACCTCATATTAATCAAGTGTGCTATGCAGTTCAAAGCCTGGGAGGAAATGAGCACTGGGAGCAGATCAACCCATTGGCAGGAGCAGATCAGCACGTTGGCATCTTTGTCACAGGGAATATTGACTGGCCATATAAGCTGTGGATTTATACCAGAATGTGATCTATTAATCCCTTATTAGTCCTCTGGCATTGCTTTAGCCACTGATAACTAATCAGCTACTGAAAGCTCTTTGAAAATCACCAACTTCTAGAATATGGCTGAACTCAAAAGATGCTGAAAGATCTAAACTTAGAGAGGAACTGGCACATAATACCACTTAGATAAAATGTCAGAAAGACTTATTGGCAAAGCACTGAACATCCTCACACTAAGGTCAGGCAGGTTGACTGTCGCTAAATCTCGAAAGTCTTTTCAGAGTGATATTCAGCCTAATCCTTTGATGCTCTGTATATACAGATCTTTCTTCATCAGAGGTATCTCCAGCTGTTCCTTACTTTGATGTTACTTTTCACAGGGATTTGTGCCAGCCTTCTGCATAGGGCAATTTTTACTTATTTAAACAATGCCCTGCAGGACTTTCCAGTGACATATGAAAACTGAAGTTTCCCAATACTTTTTCATATAAGAATAGATATGTGAGAAATACAAGCATCTTTCTGGATGATATTGTCTCTGCTCTGTACTATTGGACATGTTTACCTTCTGCAGCAGGTTGATTTGAGAAAGCAGAAGCTTCCATCCGTTATTTTGGGTCTGTCTCTCATATCTCACTATCATGAATACTTCTGAACTTCTCTCTCTTTGGAAAACTCACACTGCTCCTTAGATTTAGGCAAGGCGAGATTTAAAAGTAGAGACAAAACTTTCATTAGGCTCTTTGCATTAACATTGACCCACTTTTGTGTCTACTTGAAGTGCTATGGCTTTCTTGTGATGCATATCCCAAAAGCTAGTCTTCTGTTCTAAAGTTCATAGGTCTTACCATTTAGTTCTCTATCATTTTGTTTTCCCTTCTATGCTGTGCATGGACACTTTGAAAGGATAGTCTGAGAAAAGGCCCCTTCCTGAATTAAAGTGTGGAAGAGTCACCAGACTAGTGAATCTTGATGGTGTGGAGAAAAGAATTAAAGCAAGATGAGCCAGGTCCGAAGTATTCTCTTCCTCGGGCAGGAGGAGGTAAATCAGGGACATTTATAAGACTGAGACAGAAAAGCTATAGAAAACCTGGCTGCCTGAAGGCTTCCTACTTTATATAGGAAATAATCTTGAAAAAGGAATCTGAATAAGGAAAGTCTCTGCAACCATTCAGTTTTATCTCATTGAAAAGATACTTCCTTTAGTTTTCCCTTACATATTTTTGGCAAAACTATCTTCCTCATTCACTTCCTTTGGGGAACCTACCAAAAGCTGTGGAGCATCCATGGCCATTTTGGGCCAAGCTGCTCCAGTGCAGAAGCAGGTTGGAATTGTAGTGGCTGGATTTTGTATCTTTCAGGTTTGTCATTGTTAGGTGTCATTTGCCATCTGCTGCTTTCTTTTGGTTTGGTTGGTTGTTTTCTGGTGGTGGGATGGGGTGGGGGGTGTTAAATGGATTCACAAAGGGTGTGAAAAGAGCAATTGTCTCAATGAGGTCCCTGGCCCCCAGCTCTTACGAAGAAGTAAAATCTTGTTGGAAGAGGCATGCTAGAAAGGAAGGAGGCATTTCCCAGCTGCGAGAAGCAAAACTCATAGAGTAATGCCAAACCTCATACTACTGAATTTCAAATATGGGCATGTGTAGTATTGCAGAGACCACTTTTTCTACACACATGCTGCAGCTCATAGCACAGCAAGAAGGTGTCAGCTGGGACTGTAGGGGAATAGACTTTGTGGGAGGAATCTCATGCCTCCATGGCAGACTATGCACCATTCCCACCAGGAATGTGCAGCTTTAGTGCTTCCATCCAGTGCATTAAAGGAACAACAAAATCTTCACAGAGGACAACCTGCCATTCCCTGAGCCTGCCTGATTGAGGTATGGAGCTGCCACTTCAAAGATCAGGAGCTCCAGAGGAGTTCTGTAGACTTTTCTACAAGCCTCTGCTGAAGATCTGTATTTAAGACGAGTAGTTTGGCTGTCAGAAACTCTGCAGGATTTACATGCTATTTGCACATAGCTAGAGACAGAACAATTACATGTACACATGCTTAACCATAATGCCTTCTCTCCATTAGCTTGTCAGCGAAGCCCTTTTAATGACTTATCTAGAGTGCTTCCGTGACCTTTTCTACTTGGAATGCTGTACATTAACTTGCAGTCCCAGTGGCTGAGCTATTAACAGATTTCCAACCATGTGAGCTTTATTGGGAAGAAAGTAACAGTTGGTTTTGTCTGACCAATTTGATCTGCAATTCTGAGATGACTCCCAGATGGATCTCTGCTGTGAGATGGCTTAAGAATACTTGCAAACATGATGAAGTACATGTTTAAAGACTGAGAATTTAACTACCTGGGGATTACTCTTGAAACACCTGTTTGACATTGGTAGCTTCCATACTGCTAGACAAGAAACTTGCAGGAGGAGGATAGATACCAAGCACTAAATTAGAAAATCCTCTATGTGGACAGTCACAGTTTCAATGAGTTACTAATCGTGATCTTGGGAAAGTATTTGAGTTTTGAAGTGGCCAGAAAGTCAATTCTGACTTAGGTTCTGTCAATCTTCTTTTCTTTTTTAAATGCAAAATTGTTCAGGTACACAACGAAGTCTTTAGTATCAGGGCATAAAAGGAAAACTTCATACTGACACTTAGATTTGAGATTATAATGTCAATATTTTACTGATTAAAAATATAAAATATATTATGTCTTCTGCAATATAATTAAGCTCATGCATATCAGATGGACCACATTCTTTCCATCTTTTAAATGCATTCATTGAGATGCAGATGTTGATTTTTCAATAAAGATGTCCAAGGAGGAATTGCAATATAAATAATGATTCCCAACATTCTGACTGTTTTATGTTTTCTGTTCATAATTTTAACTATTTTTCCTGTTGGAGCAGGTACTTCTTGTGCTATGATCATTTATTCTTGTTTCAGGAAATTAACTCATAATGAAAGAAATAACTAATGCATTTGGTTATCCACATTTCTAAAACTAATAAACCTGTCTTTGAGTGCTTGCCTGAGCTTTTTTGAGGACTGTAAAGACTGAAAATGAAAACTTTGAGGTTGCTGATGCAGGTTTTTCCTCTCAAAGAAATCTTCAAATTTTGAAATCACGGAATCTTAAATGATTTGGGTTGGAAAGGACCTTAAGATCATCTAGCTCCAATCTGCCTGTCATGGGCAGGTACACCTCACATTAGACCATGTTGCCCAGGGCTCTGTCCAACCTGGCCTTGAATACTGCCAGGGATGGAGCATTTGCCACTTCTCTGGGCAACCTGTGCCAGGGCCTCACCACCCTCACAATAAGGAACTTCTTCCTTATATCTAACCTGAACATCCCTGTTTAAGTCTGAAAATGTTAAGTTGAAATGTATCTTAAAGACTCATCAAACCCTTAGAATAAATCACTGGAAATTTGCTATTCCTTATACAGCATCCATGGGATCCTCTGCTAAAAAAATAATGCCCACAGAAATGAAGC